AGCTGTATTGATCTATTGAATAGTAGCTGTATTGATCTATTGAATAGCAGGTGTGTGCATCTATAGAATAGCAGGTGTATTGATCTATTGAATAGTAGCTGTATTGATCTATTGAATAGCAGCTGTATTGATCTATTGAATAGCTGTATTGATCTATTGAATAGCAGGTGTGTGCATCTATAGAACAGCGAATAGTAGCGGTATTGATCTATTGAATAGCAGGTGTGTGCATCTATAGAACAGCGAATAGTAGCTGTATTGATCTATTGAATAGTAGCTGTATTGATCTATTGAATAGTAGCTGTATTGATCTATTGAATAGTAGCTGTGTTGATCTATTGAATAGCAGGTGTGTGCATCTATAGAATAGCAGGTGTATTGATCTATTGAATAGTAGCTGTATTGATCTATTGAATAGCAGCTGTATTGATCTATTGAATAGCTGTATTGATCTATTGAATAGCAGGTGTGTGCATCTATAGAACAGCGAAAGTAGCTGTATACATATTATAGAGAAAAGCAGCTTTATGGATATTATGTTGAAGAGTAGCTGTTTAGATCCATAGACAGCAAATTTCTCCCTAGGATACCCTTCTCCTGATTACACCCCGGAGACATTTCATTGTGGTGAGCGTGGTCTGTTGGAATCTTGTGTGACTTGATTGAACGCGAGGGTGGGGTAAGTGTATGCGTGGGTGGTTGGCGGATGCTCTTGTGTGGTTTGCTTCTTCTCTTCTATCAAACATCTATCGTCCTTGTCTCTCTTCCTTCTTTTTTTTGTGGTGTTTGTTACTCTCTTGTAAATTGAGTCGATAGTGCCGTAAAACACTTACTCATTCAAAAATCAACTTTCTTATAACACCTCTAATCTTCGGCTCTTGTTTAATGACCTTATTGTGTTGTAAGTGCCGTAAAACTCTTACTAAAAACTAAATTTGTGAAGCATGCTGACAAAATGAGTTACTTCTCGGATTCGAGCCCTATGGAAATAGATGCATCACGCTTGTAGGTGTGAAATTTTTATACAATTTATAAGTGTGAAATAAAAAGGGGCGTGGTATACTTAAAGAACATGGCATCAATAGAAAATGTAAAAACAATTGACCTTAGTGTTGATTTTTGGCCAATATCTCCATTTGTGGATTGTGAGAAGTAACTCATTTTGTCAGTGCGTCTCCCAGATATATATAGATCTATATACATTTACATATATA